AAAAATTTTTTGGCAGGAAATTCACTTCAAAGCACTTTTACCTTTACTTATAAGTACTACTGGGTGCTTGAATAAATTGTAGAACACTGTGGTGTGTAGCTTTGAGTGAGATTCTGTAGGCGGTCTTTCGTTGATGTGGACGATAGGGGCTGTCGGGGCTTGCTGAGAGTGGCTACACAGCCTGATACAGAAGCTACATACCCTAAAATATACACGAAGGTGGGCAATCATTTTTTCCCAACTATTCCCATGCAAAATCCACACGAAATTGCTTGAAATCCAGCTCAAAAACACCCTTTTATTGCTGGTTTTCGCTTGCAGGTTCAAACAGGTTCAAACCCGTTCAGTGGGGCCTGAACCGAGAACTGGACTTTTGGTCCAGTTCAGCACTTTCGTCAAACCCTGGACCGAACATCGAGTTCGGTTCTAGCTGGTTCAGGTTTGAACCAAAGTTCAGGACCAAACTTTGACACCACTACTTTGAGGCCCAGTCTGGGTTTGGGGTGAAGATATGGAAGTTTCGATATTCTGCAGGCACGATAAGAAAGGAGCACAAAAAAAGTGGAAGATCAGACAGACCATGGCGGTCCATTGTGAGGTGGTGCATTTTGACGGTGCTCACGATGAGCCCTTCCTTCTGCTGTAACTCGGCAACATACTCTTTATAGGTGGCATCAATGACAGTATCTAATCCTTTGGCTTCTTCGGTGGCAGAAACTTCAAAGTTCACCCTCTTGAGATTTGGGAAAATCCCAGATACGAGGAAATCTGTCAGGGTCTTCCACAGCGAGGCTTGGCTCTGGTCTGGAATATCATCGTACTGGACCTGCAATGTGAAATCTCGGAGTGGATGACCATCCAAACCCTTGGAAAGTTTGGTGAGGAAGGAGATCAACCAAGGAAATGGGCTGCCTGCCAGCACTGGTGTGGGAACCGACTTTATGTGCGGTCAAAAAGGCATGATAGGGGTGTTAAACTTTATATACATGATTTTTTTGTGTCAAAAAAGTTCAAATAAAGTTACAATAAAATCTTCCTTTCCCTTGCTCATAATTTTCCGAAAATCATCACCTTTGAGGTAATTAGTAATGACTAAATTTACCCATCCTTTTGTTGCTCCGGAAAAGACAATAAAAGTGCGGAATTTGGGATGACAAAAAGGATTGACATAAAGGATTCAGGGATACTATAAAAGGAAAGCCCAGCCCTTTATATTAAATTTTGTTCACAATTAAAGGCATCAATTGCCTAACAATTATAGACGGACATAAAGTGTTGATATAAAGGGTTTAGGCTTTCCTTTTATAGTGTCCCTGAATCCTTTATGTCAATCCTTTTTGTCGTCCCAAATTCCGCGCTTTTATTGTCTTTTCCGGAGCAACAAAAGGATGGGTAAATTTAGTCATTACTAATTACCTCAAAGGTGATGATTTTCGGAAAATTATGAGCAAGGGTGTCACGACCCGTCCCTGGCTCCCAGCACAATTATCTGGCTCCTGAGGCTGTATCCAGCTTCCGAGGCTTGTGGTAATGAGCTGTGCTCTTCCGGGACGCTTCCGAGACATCTGGGAATGAGCCGTGTGCTTCCAAGGCACTTCCGAGGCGAGCCATGTTTCCGGCTCACTCCATTGTGTCTCCCAGCCATTGTCCCATTGTCCTTCATTGTTCTCCTTGTCCCGGCTAAGTTATCTATTACATAATTGTGGTCCATTATCCTACATAGCATAAATACCCATGTACAGTAGTAGATTCCTCAGTCGGAATATTGAACTCGACATACCCCCTTTGCTCTAGTTCACTGCCGGAATCCAGCTCCTCCCTGCTCATCTGAAATCGGGGACACCCAGACGTTGCGTGGTGGCGCAGCTGCCCCTTCCGTCCAGCTGAAGCCAAGTCCCCACCCCATCCGGCACGGTCGTTACAAAGGGAAAGGAAGATTTTATTGTAACTTTATATGAATTTTTTTGACACAAAAAAATCATGTATATAAAGTTTAACACCCCTATCATGCCTTTTTGACCACATATAAAGTCGGTTCCCACACCAGTGCAGTCCATCATCTGATAGAAAATAAGTTATGTTAATAGTGAGCGCCTTCAAAGATGTAAGGATGCTGGTGTTGATTGGTTCTGTGGTGGTGTCCTCTTCAGCAGCTGGTTATATGGTCAGACTTTACAGCTATTTGCGGAACATAGGGCACGGGCTGATTTTTTTCTAAAACGGGTCAAATTGATGGTTTGAGCGAGGTCGAGGGTTGTTCGTAGAATAGCTTTGTCAGTTCATGTCCGTTCAGAATAAAATTATCATTGTTGGACTCGTATCAAAATTCTGCGTCAAATAGTGTTGCGAAAGTCGTGGTAGGGCCAAGGAATGAGAAGAACATTGACCTGAGGGGGATTCTGATGAAGTAGCAGGCATATGCTTTTCTAGAGCTCTCCTCGTGAGTTGGCTTTCCTTTGAACAAAGCTGTATCATAACTAAACCTCTTGTACATTGAAATGGTGAAGAACAGGGCATGGATTGATACTCTGGGTGAAGTCAGAGGGGCCACGCCACCATCGCTCGCCACCCATGTATCTAGATCTCGGTAATCCAACCTAGAAGCTTCTCCCTTGCCCCATATCATTCCTTATTTACTTGCACTACACTACTGGTATTCTGTGTTTAGTTTAGGGGAAAAGCGAGATGAAAAGAAATGAACTTTTTATGAGGCACCCAGACACTGACACACTGTCCCTACCCATGTCCAGAGATGGCTGCAGATAGCTGCTCTGCCCTGTTAGTCCTTGCATTTTCGTGGATATACTGTTGATGCGTCGGAAATTTTGTCTATTTCGCAAAGGATGTGAAGTTCCAGGTCGTTATATGTCTAGATAAAACCACTGGGGGAGCACTCAACCAGCACTTAGTCTGGGCGATGCTATCCTGCGCATATTGGGGATATATTTATTGAATTGTGTATCCTACATAGGGGAATCTCTTCTGGATACAAAACATTGGAAGAGTGGTGATGAAAGTGCTCAATTTTGTGGCCAACTTGTCAAGGGGCTGCAAAATGAACATGGACAGAATGCTTCAACATATTGCCAAATTCCTGCCACATATTGTATACTATTCGATGCAGAATTTGAATGTGAATCCAACGATAATAATTTTGTTGCAAACGGACATAAACTGACGAAGCTATTCTACGAACAACCCTCAACCTCGCTCAAACCATCAATTTGACCTGTTTTGGAAAAAAATCGGCCTGTGCCCTATGTTCCGCGAATAGCTGTAACGCGGGTGTCTCAACACATGTGGTACTTACTTTCCTCAGTGCCAGGATAAAAGACGAATTCTTCCAGAGTCTCAGCACATTCTTCAAGGAGGCGCCAGACGGCATGGTGTCTGTGTACCATTTCAATCAGAAATGCCATGTCCACATGAACGGTCAATTTCTTGAGCATGTGGATATCGAATCTACCCTCGGAAATAAATAGGTCAACAAAGGCGGAAAATTGAGAGGTTCTGATACTCAAAGATTCCAAGGGTAATATTCGCAACACTTGCGGACTACATGATTGAGACAGCCCTGAATCGAGTTGAAGAGGTGGATTGATGCTGAGATGCTGGACATTCACGGAGTAGTCGAGAATAGGAAGTGGGAATTGACTTAGATGAAGGCATACGAGGCTGGGAAGTTGCATTATCCCAATAATGCAAGACTTCAGACTTTCAGACATATTGGTGGCGAACCCAGCTGCCCGGTAGTTTATCGACAGCGCTTTTAAATGCTGAAGATGGGGAACGCATGACATTAACTTCTGATCTTCCACAAGCCATCCTTTGACTGCAAGCACAGAGGAGAGGGAAGAATCGGTAGGCGCCAGCACTTGATCGTTGAGTTCGAGGCAATGCACATATGGTGCAAGGTGTGGCGATGCATCCAGCAGACGTGCGAAGCCCCTCACACTCCCCTATTCCACAGGCCACTTGTATCCCTTTCCTGGGCCCCACGGTGCTCAGAGGATTATTTTGGAGAATATTTGCTCCTGACTGAGATGTGTAAACGCGCGTGAGACAAGCAAGCAGGCTCGGAGAGCGTCTTTGTCGCCCCGGAGCCAGGAAATGATTTCTCCATTGAGTTCTGGTGGGATTTGGGACACCATGAGGGGAGAAAGGAAGAGTGCTCCTTCGAATATCTGTTTCCCATGCACGGTGACTAGGGCCTCGGATTAGGTTAGGGGCAAAGACTACCAGGGTGAGGGAGAGTCCAGTATGCTGAACAGATGACCAGGATCATAGCTCAAGGTCCCAAAAGGGACAATTAGTTCAAGGTGTGACTTGTTATAATGAAAGTGTGTATGGCATGAGGTCGCTTCTGTTGTCCCAAAATTTGAGGACAAAGTGTGCTTTTGCTTTGAGGCAGTGGTACACCATAGTGGAGGTTGGGAGAGAAAACAAACTTAGCGTGACACTGATCGCTGTCACAGATGACAAAGCGGGAGGCAGGCTGGTCTGCAGTATACTCAATGCACTTCCTTTGGGAGGACGGCCAGGCATTTCGAGCCTATCCATGGTCCAGTATTACTCTCAGGTCAAAAAGAGCCTATTCTGTGGACATAGGAATAATTGTTATGACCTTCCTAAATCCTCGCTTGCGGAAGACGCACTCTTGAACATGCTGGCCCGGGAATATTAGCCACTGCACCAGGCATTCTCAACTTCTCCCTCTCTGGGCCATTTGTGAGATAGTAACAAAGTGTTGAAGAGATCGTCGTTCATCAGGCTGAAGCAGTCGCAGGGAACAAGGTGCAGGAGCCCACGAATCATGGCAGTGCACATCTCAACTCTCAGTTCAATTACTCAACAAGTCAGGGTATCCAGCCGGTTGGGAGAGTCCGGAGCCCAGAGCCTGGAGCCTTGGGCTCACTGACAGATCATGCCGATTACAGTAATTCACTGCCTTCTTGTACAGCAAAAATGAAAATGCCCTCTACTGTTCATCATAGATGAAACTCTTGTTCATTTCTGTATATATGAGCTGCCTATATGTCGAAACTAGGTCGGTGTGCAATTTGAATGTCGTCGGGTGAGAAATGGACACGCTGTCAGTAAATCCATGCCGGGGTACCCTTTTTGGGCAAAACCGGGCAGTTGTACAGTGTCACACCGTTGCCGGTGGCTGTGTCATGCAGCTCAGTTATCTTCGGTCCGATGCGATCAATCAATAAACACTTGTTCTATTCTTCGTCTATTGTACCATCGCCACCCACATCCTCCTCAGGATCCTCCTCAGGATCTTTCCACGCCTTCTTGGTTGGGGGTTTTACCCGGGCCTCCTTGTAATTCGAACGCAAAGGCTTTGGATGGGCTTTGTCCCAATCCTTCAGCTTGCGGCCCGCCTCCTTCGCTGCTACTCGCGCTGCTGTCCACTTGTTTGCATCCTCCTGAAACTGGCGATACAGTGCCGCATTCCTAGCCTCCTGACCATCCTCATGTGCCTGCCACGCTGCCATCCGCTCCTCGTATTCAAGCTGCTGGGCAGCCCTCTCCTCCTTGTCACACACCTCCTTCGCCTTTGCATCCTCGTGCTCCTTGATGGCTCGAATCACGGCAGAATGTGTCATCAAATGAGGTAAGCCGTCTTGTAGAATACCTCCTTGCCCCTTCTTCTTCCTTCGCTTGAAGCTGACGACGCAGTTTGTTGCAGTATAATCGCTGCAACACGAGCATGGATTGCATACGGATCGCCTGCTCCTTGTAGTAATCTGCTGCCGCTGCTTTCGCAATGAGAGCCTCCTGCATGGCATCCTCGTCGGGTGTGGATGTCGTCTTTGTTGTGAGGTATGTGACATCTTGCCTTGACATTGACGGTTTGGTAATGCAACGTTTCATAGGCAAGATGAGAGCATTCAGCAGATTGGGTGGATTAGAAGACGATGGGATAGGTGTTTGTGAGAAGAGAAAGCCGCAATCAGAGTTGGCAAGTTCTTTGAGGGTGGCTCAGATGGGAAAGGTGTCAAGCCGTGGGTGGGCAGGTTCATCATTTACAGGTTCTTGTTCCTCCCCTTCTCCCTCCTCACCTGCTTCATGACCAGCCTCACCACCCCCCTCCTCAACATCATCTGCCTCCTCATCAGCACCATCCTCCACCTCCTTGTCCTGCTCTCCATCTGCCACCGCTTCTTCCTCCTCTTCACCTGCTTCATATTCCTCATCACCTCTCTCGTCAACCGCATCCTCACTGGCTCCCTCATCCTCACCTTCGGAATCTGTATCCGAATCATTGTTTGGAGACGACGTGATGAAGATAGGCTGGAGGGTGTCAATGATCAGCTCCGTCATGATGCGGACAGCAGCCGGTGGCTCAACTGGGGTGTAATGCCGAAATGAGGTGTCGCAGCTGGGAGCGAGCTTATCGGCAGAGATCACGTCGCGGTTAAAAGGTATGATTCCTGTCTTCGAGAACACCTTCTTGATTAACTCCAGTTGTAGTATCGCAAGATGGGTGTCACCATAAACCTTCAGGAAGTTCTCTTTTGAGATCTCCTGGCCTGTCTCTCGAAAGAGTTTGTCACGGTTCTCACTGAACCTTTGCTTCATCAGGCTGAATATCACGACATCCAGACCTTGGTAAATGTGAGTTGTATGGGCAGGATAGCACAAGACATGGATCTTATGCGCCTTGCAGAACATCAAGAACCCACAAGTGACATGTGAACCATGTCCGTCAACATAGAGGACTCGCCACCTGCCACCCGCCTTCTCACGAGTCATTCGCTCGAAGTGCTTTGCGTACTCGATGCCGATCTCGTTATCCGTCCAGCCCTTCTTCGAGTATCCCAGCCTTGTCGCAGTAAGTACATGATATGATCCAAAAGGTTATCATTACTCACATTGCTTCTGCAGGGTTATCTTGCTTCCACCGAACTGCAAAGCCCTTTCCAGAAAACAAAATGGCTGGAGGTATGGCAGTCCCATCCGCGCAGATATTGACAATGACAGTCGTTGTCTCCCTCATTCCAGCTTGCTGCTGGTACTGGACGTTCTTGCCCGCTCCGCCAATCACCCGCTCTTCTCCCTCATCACCGTTAGCCTGAAAACCTGCCTCATCCAGCGTGTACGTGTTCTCAGGTGCAATTGTGTTGCCCTCATCTCCATGCAGCTGGACGTTCTCAACGAGATCACACCAGGCCTTATGGTTTTCTGGGTTCGCAGCTTTCCCTCGGACATCATGGAGTGGCCAAGTCCAGTATACGTGAAGGCATTCGTGATGCTGCTCAACAAAGCGGTGGGACCAGTGCTTCCCAAGACCAGGAAAGGAGGTGCCATAATGCGCTTGGCAGAGCTCTATGACGTGCTCCTTCAAACGATGATGTGACAGCCCAAAGCCCTGAGCTGCCGTCTCAATGAGGTAATTGACAACCTCTTCTTCTTCGACGGCGCTCAAATGAGATGAATCCCATTTAGTCTCCTCCTGAGGACGTGTTTTGCCAGTTGCGTGATTACAGGCAGTGTTGTGATTCAGCTTCAGCCAGTGGCCTGTCTTGGCATGCCATCACTTGCGTGCCTCCTCAGCCACCTCCCAGTAAGACAGGCACTCATCTTTTGGCTTCTGTTGCTCATCCAGCCAAATTGCGTGAGCAATCCGGTAAGCTCTTGCCTTTTCCTCTTCTTCTTGGCGTTTTTTTAGCGCGTCGGAGGCTGCGTGCTTTGCCATGGGGGTGTATTAAGGTAGTTTAGTGTTGACCGTAATAAAGTGTGTTGAGGAAAACAGGGGATCAAGGTGCAGTGTGATGGGTGTGTCACACTTATGATGCGGTGTGACATTCCCCATCACCGATGACCAATTTCCCCCCTCCAGATGATCTTAAGGCCCTGGAGCTCTCTTGGTGATAGCCCAACCCAAAATTTGCATTTCAGTCAGTCAGAACATGATATTCAGACATCTTTTACTCTCAAAGTTGGTCTCTAGTGTCATGGAAGAGTCACGAAGGATGGTCGATTTTTTTGCCCAATTTCTGCTTTTGGAATGTTTTCCCATCCCTGTCAGCAGAAGCAGTGCCGCCTCTCCCACAAAGGTTGCAAATGGTGATCCAACCATATATTCACCCACAGGATTCAAGAAACATACCCGATCATAGTCCTATCACTCAAAAAGTCACTGTATACAACTGGGCGGGGGTGTACAAGAAGCCAGTGAATTACTGTAGATCACAGGATGTGGGAATCCATTAGTCAGGGTGGGGACGAGCGACCCCCTGACTAAGCTTTTCGTCCAAAGATAGCAGGTCGCTGATCTGTGGAGTCGGCGGCGTTCGTGTCGACCATGAAAGACTTATTCTTCACCGTCGAACTCGTCCATGGACGAGTTGTCTATCGTCTTCGCCATGGACAGCGACGGCGTGGGTGGGCGGATAGCACCACAACAAGGTAAGTAAGCCTCTCTTTCATTCATGAGGGACATACATAACTTACATATAACCCTTAGATTTCTCCCTCACACCCTCGTTCGTCAACCACCCACCCAACGTCAATCCCATCGGCGAACGTCAATGACCCGGACGAGTCGGAGGGGTGCTGGACGTGGGGCGTAGCTCGTAAGCTGTCGCGGTCGATGGTGCATGGTGGCCTACGTTCAATGGGGTGGATAGGGTAAGTCCACGTTCGTTTCGTGCGTACAGACCTGCCTCGTACTCACCTCTTATGTCCAGGCTTCGCACTCGTCTCCGCACTTACACCGCCTGCAGAACCACCTCCTTCGACGTTGGGGAGCGTTACACGTGCAAGGCCGTTGATTGGGCCTCGTATGAGCGGGTTTCGTGGGTTTGAACGGCGAAGGAAGGCTCCTGGGCATCGCCCTCGGCACCCTCCCTCGCAGCCCGAGGCCTTCTCCTTCCTTCGCCGCGTCTTCCCAGATGCTCTCCAGGGACGACAATGGCGGTATCGGTGGGCGAACGATGTCGTACGGGTGAGTTCTCCGTCTGTGGGTATACGAGAAAGTACTTACGTTCGTCCTAGCTATACGTGGTCTCCATCGACAGCACCGCTGGGATTCGTGGTCTGCGTGGTGTTGGACAGCGGCGAGAGGTGTCAGATGTCGTGTATAGTGGCGACGAAGGGCTGTAGGGACGGGGAAAAGAGACGGTAAGTCGTTCGTCTCGTGCTCGATGATGAAGACTTACCTTAGGTTCGTCTTCTAGATGAAGGGCGGAGGGTTGAGCTCGACGTTCGGGGGCGAGCTGCGGTGTGATAACGAAGGTACATTAGCTCGTTTTAGATGAGTTATCCAAGTTGAGTGACTTACTTTGCCTGTAGATCCTCGCCGTCGCCGTGTCCTTCGCCTTCAACACCCTCTACACCATTCATGGCTGCCGTTATCCAAGACCACCGACGTGTTTCGTCTCTAGAAGACTTTAGGCGGCGGTCGCGGGCGTTTGGAGATGGGGGGGACATACCTTTCGTGAGCACCGTGACAGCATCGTGCTGCGAGTGTGGACGGCGGTCTTGGGTAGGTGGAGAGGGCGGCAAGAGTATGAGAGCAGGGAAAAGAGTTGTATAGTTACAATGCCATTCAAGTCGTTTACATAAATAAATAGCTTACCTTACTATACGGTGTTTGCGGACGTTTGAACGTTGAAGTCTTCGGGCAAAGAGCTGGCGCGCTTGAGGCGCGGTCCTGTTTCCTGCGCCTGCCACTAATTCTGATTTTCCGATCAATGTACTGGGTGTAAAAAGAGAGAGAGAAATGGAAATAAGGGGGCTTGTGTGCTCCTTAGAAACACCACAGCAGCGCAGACAACCATGGGGACATCATCCCAGTGCTCCAAATAGGATATTTTTCACTTGCGCGCCATGCGCGCTTTGAGACGGGACAGATTGAACGGGCCGTGGACCTGTGTCGCGCTCACAGGCATTGATTGAATTGCCAACCCTCATTCTAGGGGAAAAAATAAAATTACTTCATTGCCATTGTTACACAATTATGCTAAGTACTATAGCCCGATGACAGAAAGACAGTACCTGCAGGCGCTCGTGCGACAATTTCTTGGGGACTTTTTGTGCAGAGGGTTAGTGGGATAGTCTTTTTTTTATTATAGCTGAATTGAGATTTTAAATAAAATAAAATTCTAGAGGCACCACATCCAGCGTCTATCTACCTATAAGTAACGGCTGAGTGACGGGAGAGGTTGATAGTAGGCGCCAAAACGGGTAGCTCCCGGCGCGACATGGGTGTTTCGGGGAATGCCGGGGCTCTGGGCTCTGGCTCTCCCAGTCGGTTGGATGCCCTCCAACAAGTGGGCGTAGAGGAGCGACGGCGTGCTCCTCTGAATTTGTGATGGAAGATGACTAGTGACTTGGCACAGAGCAATCCATTTGTTAACGGGGTGGCTATTAAAAATGGCGATCCTTGGCGATCTCCCCGACGGCCGTCGAGTGCGTTGCTTCGCAGTCCTCTCCCGAATGGCGAGATAAGACGCACTCAGTCGGGTGCTTTGAATAAAGCTTCTGAATTTCGGTGTGTTGATGTTGATATGTACGTACATGGGGAATAGTGTGTAACGCTGGCTTACCGCGAAGACACTCAGGAAGAAGAGGAAATGAAAAGCAATGAGAAAGAGGAAGAACTCGCACTAAGGTGCTGCAAATCCGATCGAGTACGCAAGCCTGAATGAGAGTGATAAATAGGAGGTAATAGTAAGCCATAGCCGATATCGAGACGACAAAACGCCAACGTACGAGCCGGTACGCGCGTCGGGACGACGAAAATGCCGACGCTTGATCATCACCGTCGCTGCTCGCATGAGATGGCGCGTGCCGGATACCTTGGCAGCAGGCGGTACGGCTGGCGATTGAATTCTTTCATTGCCTTCGCCTTAGAGACCTAGTCTCAAAGAACGCATCCGCTAGATCCTCGATTACTCCCGCAGCGGCGACTTTGCGTACATATGGAGCAGGTGGCGATCTGCTGATGGAGAGCCCCCGTCGGTCATTCGCCACATTCCAGAAATGGTATTTTCTGCAGATCATGGCCTGGATGGGACGATGGGTGTCAGGCACGAAAGCGAAAAAGTCGAGAAGTGAGGAAGAGGCTCGCGTCAGAGGTATAAAAGCAGGCAGAAGGCAGGAGAGGATCCTTACTGAGCTGGTCTCATCCCCACCACCGAATCCCATCCAAGCAATCGCTGCTGCGTCGACCGCAAGCCCTCTCTCCCGTTCCTAAACAGCCCGCATTTAACGACCTTCACGTTCACCATGGTTCAAATCACCTCCTCCATCCTCCTCGTCGCCCTCCTCGCTGCGCCCTCCTTCGCTGCGCCCATCTCCGGTGACTACGAGGACCTGTCAGCGTAAGTGTACTCGTAGTTCTTAACAGCTTCTGTGCTTTTTTACTGATCTACGGACTGTAGACGCGAGCCTCAGCGCCTCCGCGCTGCTCTCAGCCGAGTTGGCAAGCTCTTCACCTCAAACCGTGTGGCTGCTGCTGCCGGCGTCGCCAGTGCTGCTGGTGTCATCGCAGGTACTGTCAAGGCCAGCCAGCCAGCGAGCAACCCACCGCACGCGACCTCGAGCTGCTAGAGGAGCTCGCCACCCGTGAACCCATCTTCGGCAAGATCTTCCGAGGGGTGAAGAAGGTCGCCGGCACTGCACTCAACGTCGCCGGTTCGTTGACCCAGCGCGAGCTCGACCAACTCAACGAACTCGCCGAACGTGAGCCCATATTCGGAAAGATCCTGTTCAAGGCCGCACGGAAGGTCGCAGGGGTTGCTGCCGGCGCCCTCAGCGGACGCGAGCTCGACGAGGCTGAGCTGTTCGCACGCGATCTGAGCTTCCTCGAGGACCTGATTGCCCGCGATTTTGAGTTCGATGAGCTTGATTAAATAGCAGCATACTTGGTGTTTAGAAGGATTCGGTTGGACCTATATTTATCACAACGAGTAGATTACAGGACACTGTTTGCAGGGATTAGGGGTGACCTAATATGTAATGCTAATGGGTTTTATGGGTCTTACCGCGGTTCGCGTTGTGCTCGATGACTACTTCATTGAATTTCTAATTCAGCAAAGGCAATTGTTGGGCAATTGAAGCAAAAGATCGCCTCCTTTGGATCCTTCCATGCCTTCAACGATAGATCTGAAGCTCGGGAGGCCCGGTCCGTGAAGAAACTTAGGGTCACTGATGTGCCTGCGAATACGTGACAACTTCTTGGTTCCTACTATCATGCCCTCCCTACTACCTCAGGAAATCCTGGACGAAATTATCTTCCGCCTGTACAACGACATAGAAGCCCTCAAAAGTTGCTCACTCGCCTCGTCCTCCTTCACCGCCGTCTGCCAATCCAGGCTCTTCTCCAAAATCATCCTGAGACCGAGATACGGCATCCGCTGGCCGCCAGGTGGGGGCAGCGCAAGCAACTTCAAGCGGGTTCTTGACAAGTCGCCGCACATCGCGAACTACGTAGCCTGCCTCGAGATCTTCGACACACCCTTCGTCGCCGAGATGGGCCTAGCTGAGGAATGGGTGTCGAAGGACGATGGGTTGGCAGCGTGCCTCCTGCGGCTCACACATCTCAAGGCGCTGCTTATCACCTACCGCACGGACGTCCAGATAAGTCACTGGTCTGCCGAGCTGCAGCGGTCTCTCGAAGAGGCGATGAAGCTCCCAAGCCTCGTCTACCTTGAGCTCATGGGCTGTCCGCTCGCTCTCCTTGAACGAGGAGGTACCGGACTCCAGCATCTCACGCTGCGCTGCCCTGTGGGTCGAATTTTGGACTCCGCATGGTCAGCTTTGTTCTCTATTGCGGACACCGTGGCTGCGCGAATCCAACCAGTGTCCCTCGCGCTGCACTCTGAGGATAAGGCCATGTTCCTCGAGTTGATCATGCGGCCGGTGCTCATGCTTGACCTGAGCAAGCTCAGGCGGCTGGCTGTCCATGCTGGAATTGGAGCGTCGCTGACGTCGGGCCACGGCGCCGTTGCTCAGCTTCTTCGAGTCTGCGCTAGGACACTCGAGGAGCTGATATTCTACCCAAGCAGTGATGGTGAGCCCTCCTTCCAGCATGCATGCATTTCTGCTCCAGCCGATCATGACGACTCACGAGCCAACAGTCGCTCCCGACCCAGAATTCGACAACGACGATCGTGTCAATGACCCGATCGATCCCAGCATCCTCACCTCCCTGCGCAGACTCACAGTCCGCGTGAATATATTCGAAAAGAACCTGTATCTCCCCTGTCACGACCCCTTCCCCTGGCTACTGGTCTTCCTCACCCAGCTCGCGAACTCAAGCACCACTGTCGCCGCCATTCACCCCGATACTGACCACCCGCTCGAAGAGCTGACCGTACACGTGCAACACAGAGTCAGCGCGTCCAAGCCGCGCGAAATCTATATGTGGAGGCACATTGCGAGTTTCCTTGCGGCGAACCCCTTCTCTAATCTGCGGAAGGCAACGTTCGAGGTGTCATCAAGGGACGTCCTTGAGGACCTCCAACAGGCGGGGTACTTCTCGCAGCTTTCCAGTCAAAGGTAAGGACTCGAAGTCAGCTTATTCCAGGGCGATCTACGTGGTCGTGTTTTTCATTAGATGATGATTTAGATGAATGTCTTGCTCACCGGTCATGTGCCCTTTTCTCATTGATTTTATTTTCCAGCATATTGGTCGCATACGCTATTTGCGCCAGACACGAACGGCGAGTGGGCTGGGTCGCCTCAATTTCCAGACAATTAAGGCTGCAAAAGTGGACGGTGCTGTGAGAGGGATGATCGGACATACATTGCAGTTGCCATTCAACATCAACATTTGCCTTCGATTTCCCTTTTTTCTTGCACTACCACCCCTATGAACATTCAAATGATCAAGCTACATTATTCTTCCATGCTTCACAATCTCAAGAAACTACGACGCATTACGACCTAAAGGTTCAAAACATACGAAACGCCCCTCTCAAACCAACCAAACCTACTCCTCCTCACTCTCCGACTCTAGCTCACCTTCATACTCCACCAACGGCCTCTCCTCGCCCACAGTCCAGAACGAAGGGACGGCCATGAAGAGGTCTTCGACGTACCAGAACGTGAACTCTTTGTGCGGTCCGCCGCTGCCGGAACTGGAATGACCTCCCCGTCCTCCTCCCCGTCCCCTCCTTCTGCCTGATCCACGCGTCAAATCGCCCTCTGCGGCCGTAGAAGGGGAGGGGTGGCTGTATCGCCCGTAGACGCGTCCCCTTTGGGCTGGTTTGACACTGGAGCCGTTTCAAGTTCTGAAGCGGGTGGTGGTCGCAGGGCCCGCAATCCTCAACTCAGATGCGTCAGGGGCGGCGTTCGTGCGCCTCCCCCCGGCACCCGGCACCTTGTACTCCGGCGCGACGCCCCCGTCGTCCCAGCCCACCCAGGGCTCACACACTACCCGCGTTAACCTCTCCACCAGCTCCTCCTGCACACCTCGCCCCCTTTATCCCTCTCTGGGCATGACCACCCGCTTGAGACGCCGGAGGCTCCGCTCCATGACCTCTAGCTCGTAGATATTGTAATGGTAGGACAGTCATGCCGAGGATTTCTAGGAAGGGCTGGCGGAAGAGCGGGACCCACCGGTCCATGTTCGCTTGACGTTGCGCGGCGGTGGGGGGTTCGTTGGTGCGTCAATCCCAATTGAGTTCGTGGTCGTCTGAGGTGTTGGGTTTTGGGTGGAGGAGAGGAGGAGGAGGGTTCGAGAGGGGCAGTGGCCCTATTTGGCGCATCTAGCGTGTGCTTGGGTTCTGGAGGTGGTGCGTGGTGTGGTTCAGAGGGAGTCGACGCGTCTTTGTTCTCCTCATCTTGCTTGTCCTTCTCCTCGACCTTTGCTTCAATCGTCACGACGGCCTCCGCTATTGTCTTCGGTTCCTTCTCTGCGACGTCGCCTTCAACAACCTCCTCGATAAACGCCTCGCGAATTCCACTCGGCCGATGGTACTCATCCGCGTCCACAAAGCCCAGCGACGTAGGCGAGAGCACTTCTATCCGTACCTCCGCTGTCCCAGGATCTCGACCAGCGATGTGTTGTTGGACCTCCCTCACCTCCACCTCCTGCTCCTCCGCGCCTTCATTAACAACGCGCCATTCTGCACTTTCGGTGGTGCTGAGGACGATATCGGGCGGGGCGTGCGGGTAAGATGTCGATGGCTGGACTTCAGACAACAAGTCCGGAAGGCTCGTGACAGGCAGGAGTTGGGCGTTTGCAGCGCACAGCTCAACACATCCGTTCGGTGCTCTCGGTAGTCACTGGGATCGTCCGACCCGGGCCTGCTCTTCCATGAGACACGCAACGATAATTACTGTACGTAGACCCCGATATTGGGACGTACATAAATAATCCAAGAATGTACGAAGTATTACACTGTACAGCACAACACTAGGGTGTCGCAGGATATGAAGTGAATCCAAGCAAGGATTGAGATATGTGAGACGTAGATAAGATGGAGAGGAAATCGATGTAAGAAAGGAGTGTTGTGTTGTGAGGTATGATGATGAATTGCAAGATACGAGGAAGATGAGGGTGGAAAAACAAGAAAGAAAAAATTGGGATGAAAGACGAAGGAAGGAACGTGGCCGTCGCGGGATATGGAGAGGCGACGCAAATCGAGATAACTGCAAGCAAGATGCGAAATTTAAATAAGACGTATTAGATGGATAGTTCGATACCGACGAAGTCGAAGGTTCGAGGTTCGAGGCAGACGATGCACAACCAAAAGGTCGTCGTACTACGCGTTTTATACGCGTAAATCTAGACACCGATTTTATATGAGCGCTAAGCACCCGAAAACTTCAAATATATGCACGACTTACCACTACTTCAGCCCCACTCCTCCCCATCCACACTCGTATCAACCACCTCGCCCAGGTCTCTCGCCTTCCCTGTCCCACCTCCATTCGCGTTCCCACTCCCGTTTGCCTTACCCCTCAAACTCGACCCACTCCCCTTCTTCTGCAGATGTCCGTGGAGACTGGCCAAACTCCCCTTCTTCTGCACCCCGCCACCCATACCAGGACTCCGCGAGATAATCTCAACTTCCACCCTCCTCCCTCCCTTACCTACTCTCGTCGGACTCTCCGATCGCGAAGGACTGGGTGGTGCAGGCGGGGCAGGTGCAACGAAAGAGGAAGAGAGGGGGCTCTTCGTTGGCGTTGGTTTGGACTTGGGTTTGGTTTTTGGTTTTGGGCTTATCGGGATGGGCTTGATAGGCCGGGATTTAGAGTTGGAGTTGGATTGAGAGAGAGGGCAGTGGGGTGACTTTGGAGGTGACGCCAGCGGGGGAGTGGAAGGATGGTCGTCGACGTCCATAGCGTTGAGGTCGTCGGTGCCGTCTGTGTCTTCGCCGTTTTCGATTTCGTAGTTAGCAGGGGACGACTTTTTGGGGGACTTTGGAGGGAGAGTGGAGGTTTTACGCGCGCGTGCGCGTTTCGCGGGACGGGGCTTCTCTTCCTCCTCTCCCTCCTCTTGCTCGTCTTCGTCTTCTAGCTTCGCCCTCGCCTTCCCCTTCTTGGAGGACGACATCGACGCGCTCCTCCCATGGGCACTCCGGACCTGCCTTCGGGAACGAGACGACGACACGCTCCGTGCCTCTTCGTCCTCGTCGTTGTCCTCCATCATCGTCCGGCGGCTGCGTTTACGCGCGTGCGAGCCACGGGTAATGCGTGAAGGCAGCGGGGGCAGGCCACATCGGAGCTCGATGCACGATGTGAGCTTGTCGTCCGAGGGTGAGGAGTCGGCGCGGAATCGAGCGCGTTTCGTGTCGGTCTGTATCATCAAGATAAAAATCAGCGCATCATCAAGAGGTGGGGCATCCCAAAACGCACCGTATGCCGTCCTTCATAGCACCACCCATTGGGCGGGCCCTGGTCGCCCGTCCCCTCCACCGTCTGCCCACAACACCCATACAGCGTCTCGAATTCGCCCACCCTATCATTTCTCCCTGTCCCGATCCTCACCCGATCGACAAACGCGCTCTCATCATCATGCGGGACCCTACACGCCGCGTCCCCATTCTCCAACTCGAAATAGCCCTTATGGCAGCGCACGCAATGGAGCTTGGGGGGCGGGGCGAGGGAGGCAAAGAACGCTGTCAGTGCGGAGAGGGTACACGGGGAGGGTGGGGCAGGGGGCGTGTGGAGGATGAGACCGGAGGG